AGAGGTAGAGGCTCTCTTGACATCTGGAGGCAGATGGAGATTGAGGCAAGTAACTAGGGCCACGGGGGACCCTAAGACCAGACTGGAATGTATCACTTTGATGTATAGTTAATTCAAGGGCAAATAAATGGTTGTGCAGGTATGCAGTGTGTGGCGAACGTGGGCCCCACCCCCAATTACAGTGAGTTACTCAGTTGGCAGGGAGCTCCCCAGAGGTAATGGTCCCATCAAGAGAACCTCTTGACACTCCCTAACCTAGGCCTATAGCATCGTTTAGAAGACTGGAACAGGATGGAAAAGCTAAGAGCAATGAGAATGTCAAGGTTGAAGTTTTTGCAGCAAGGATTAATTTTTAAATAAAAGCAGTAAATAATTAAGATCATTTTAAAGACATCATGTCATGCCTTCCATTTCTTACAGATATTTAGCTAGTTGAAATCAGATATTTTATATTCAGCTTCTCTTAGCTTTATACCGTAAGCATGTTTCCATGTCTGTGTGTATGTTAAGTGTCACGAGTCAACAACTCTGACATCTGGTGACCCTATGAATAAGTGATGGCCACAGTGTCCTGTCCTCAACAGCTTTGCTCAGCTCCTGTAGACTTATGCCTATGGCTTCTTTTTTTTTTTTTTTTAGCTGAGCCATCCTGCCACCTGTTTGTTGGCAGCTCAGCAGCCGTTCAGCTCGGGCCAGGAATCGAACCAGTGACCCTGTTGCTCAGAGCTCACACTCTTGAGCAACCAACTGAGCCACTCGGCCGGCCCTCGTCTATGGCTTCTTTGATGGAGTCAATCCATCTCATATTTGATTTTCTTTTTTTCTGCTGCTTTGCTATTCCATGTTTGTACATAGCTTTAATAATTACTATTTTTAATGGCTGCACGAAGGCTATTTTATTAATTTTGTTAATCTGCCTATACTCAGTGCTTATTATAATGCTTAGTAAGCCCCGAAGAGAGCACAGAATGATGAGCACAGAAAGACTTTCAGTGCTGGTGTCAAAATACTTCAATTCAAATGCAAGTTTCTTAACCTCTGTGCTTAGTTGTCTGGTCTATGAAATGGGGGTGATGACAATTCCTACCACACAGGTTTGTCGTGATTCAATGAGTTAATTTGTATGAAGGTCGTAGAACAGTGCCTGGTACATGGTGAGGGTTCAATCAATGTGAGCTATTAGTAATGATGTATAAATGACTGTGGAATCTTCAAGTCTTTTCTTGTTATTACTATTATAGATAGCAGTTCAATAAACATCTCTATTTATATAATATTTTGCTTCTATTTCATTATTTCTTAAGGTTAAATTCCTAGGAATCAGATTGCAGGGTCACAGAACTTATCACAATGGCTACCTTTTAAAGGAATTCCTTTAACCTCTTCCCTTGAAGAAAATGTGATGGTATGAAAAATAAATGCTAGTTGATATCAAGAGATTGATAAAGCAAATAAATCATGGATTTATCTGATAACAATAATTTAGTAAAAACCCATTTTATTCATAAAATTATGTAGACATTACACAAAAACTCTGGGTTTGATTCAATCAATTTAATCCAACAAGGATTTTCCAGTCTACTGTATGCTTGTATCATGCTAGGTGTTAAGCAGATTATGGGAGAACATGAAGAGGTCATTATCCTTAAAGACAAAATATATGTAAGAAGGCAAGATGTGAAAGTAGTATGAGACCATATAATCAGGTGCCAAATTTTATATATATATATATTTTTTTTCTTTTTAAGATTTTTATTGGGGAATTGGGGGGATGGGAACAGCGCTGGGGAATCGGGGGAAGGGGAACAGACAAGTTGCTGTTGTTTTGTTCTTTAGTCTAGTTGTGGAGGACTTTGCTTCACTGGCCCAAGTTGGCACCATCATTGCGCTCTTCCTGGGTGAGGCAGATCAGTCACTGGCCTCTGGACAGCCGCTCATGGTGGCTGCTGGCCGCTCACGCTGGCTGCTGGCTACACACAGTAGCCCATGGCAACCCACTGCCACAGGGGCTGCAGCCTACGCCATCACCTGCGACTCATGGCAGCCCAGCTCCAGGTTGAGCTGTTTTTCAGCATCTTAGCTGTGGAGGGCAGTGTCACTGGCCCTCATATGTGGGATCTGAACCGAAGCCCTCTGGCGTCCCAAGCCAGTTCTTAACCATCGCGCCACTCAGCCGGCCCCCAAATTATGTTTTTTAAAAGATGGCAAATCTGTGGTATAGGTACTAAGTATTAGGCATAGTTAGCTAGGCAATGAAGAGACACTATCCAGTTAGCAGTGCAGAAAAAAGTGTGTGACTGTCCAAGTGATAACTAAATTATGCTCTACTTTGTTTCTTAGAATCTAACATTTTATAATTGCTTTTAATCCACCCCAAGCCAATGACCAGACTTGCAGTTGAATATCATTAGCAGAAAATGTTTGCTCTTGCTAAAACACACGCTCATCCCTGCCTGTTGGAAGATAAAAAGCAGCCCTCCAACTTCAGCTGTGGGCCTCGCCAAGGGGGCCCTCAGGAGTGGAAATGGCCTTGGTGAGAGCTGTGTGTTTGTCTGTTCAGGAAGGGCCTCTGCCAGCTGAAATAACAAAATCATCTCCACTCCAGTCGCTTTCAAGGTGCGCTGCTAAAGTGTCTTAAACAATCCAGACCGCGCACTACAATCTTCATTCTCAAGTCCTCTCGCTTTTGTCTCAGTGTTGAGAGGAAGGGAGTCAAACTGCCTTTCCCTTATGAGATGAGCAGGATCACTGGTTTCCAGGAAGCCAAACCTGAAATAGAAGCAGAAGCCCTTTCCTGTAACTGAGGAAGACTTCCCAGTCACCGTAAACCCTTTCTGTCAGGGGAACAAGGCCCCATATAAAATTCCTGGCCTTGGAAAACAGCCTGCAAAACCATGCTTGTGCTTTATCCAGCAGTCATTAAACTGCCTACTATGTACACATCCTCCACCTCTCATTGTCAAAGAGAAGAAGCTGTTTTGCCCAAACAGGTTTCAAAGCAGACAAGTGAAACTGTTTTCCTTATATGGTGAAAAGTGCCCTGTCACTTTAAGACCAAGAGACTTGGCTGCAGACGGTCCCTGGGAAGTTTGCAGGCAGCCCCATCCTGTGTCTGATCCTTGCAGCTGTGCAGGTGAGTTCCCAAACCTCTCCCCAATTTGCCCTCTACAAACCCTCTTGTGGCGTGGTGGATTAGAAAGGCTATTATAGAGGGCTAGAGAATGTCAGGGTCAGTAGAGAGGGTGTTGTTTGGAGAAGTTTTGAGTTGAAGGAAAAAACAAGGTTACTAGGGAAATGTGCAGCAGTGCAACCAGTAAGGATGCTTCTAACTTCCTGTGGGCTGGAGGCATCAAGGTTACAGCAGGCCCTGAAGCATTCCAGGACGGGGCAGGGGAAACCAATTCAGCAAGGGAAGAGGAACAGATTCTAGGTAAGACTTTGCAGGGGTTAGTTTAGACTCCTGAGCTATAGAACCTGGTTAGTTGCAAGTTTAAACCAAACATAGCTGGGAGGAAATAATGCTTCTGCAAGTGCTTGAAGGCTTTGCATTGAGCAGGAGCTACAGGGTTGACTGCAGCCCAGAAAGTATATGTGAATGTGTGCTGGTGTGGAAGGCTGCAGCCTTAACCCTTTATACAGCCTGGCTGGTTTGCAGGTAGGGTTTGCCCAGAGCTTGGGGTGGGGATGAGGGTGCCTGTGTGGAGTGTTGCAGTAGGAGACTAAATAAAGGAGTAAGATTATGATGGTGGAAAGGCATCTCTGGTATCCCCACAGTACCACCTGCAGAGAAGAGAGCCTTCTAAGCTCTGGGGAAATTCTGTGTCATCCACAAGAAAGGGCTGGAAGAAATCTCATTTAAGCTGATTATTGCTCTGTCATTTACTAATTCAGTTTTCTGATTTCTTTTCTCCCATGGCCTGGAGCCTCCTAAGATATTCATTTGAAATTAACTAATAGAGCTTTTGAACAGTTAAAGATGTACTAGCAGAAACGTGTGTCTATGAAAGGCTAAGATGTATATACAGCTAGGGTTGGGGTTTTCTGGATGGGATGAAAAGAGGTGGGCATGACTAGGAGGAGAAACACTTGGTAGTCATTTTACAATGCATCCAAAGCCCTTGACGTGAACCCATTCATCAGCTACAGCCCGAAAAATAAGTCCACCCAGGAATTTAAAAAGAGAGGCGCCAAATTATAGGGCTTGGGGCCGTCTTCCTCCTGGTTGAGTCTGGGGCCATTCATCATTCAGAGGCCACTGGTTTCTCTACAGTTGTTATGTAGGGGGATGAACACAGAGGCGGGATTAACATTCCTTACATACTCCATGCCTTTAAAAAATTCATTCATCTGAGTAGTCACTGAAGAATTCTTTTTATTATTAACTAACAAGTGCTCTGTCCTCTTGTTTTGCAAAGAGAGACTGTTCGTGAAAAAGGGTTTTGTTTTATCAACAGGGATTTGTTAGTGCAAGGACCCCTCTCTTCTCACTTCTGGTGGGTGGGCAAAGAGCTGATTGTTGCTTGCTGAACAGAAAGATCTGTTCTTGACTCTGAAGATCATAGAGAGTTCTACTTGAGCCTTACCCATTCAGAAACACAGGTGTCCTGAGCAAAAGGTTAACTTACGTGTTCACAAACTGGAAGAGAGTAGCGTGCGTGGGTATAACTTTGCTTCATTTGGTACCAAGCTAAATCCAGAAAAGCAGTGTCAAATATACTGCCTTCAAATAAGAATGCTGCCAAGAAAAACAAGAGTCCCATCCCCGAAGCTGGAAAATCTCAAAAAGTAACATTCTGTGATCTTTTATAAGCTAAATCAAGGCATTTAAAAAGAAAAAAAGATGTGGCTTCCCATGACCCTCAGTTGCATTTGACTGTATAACTTCATGCAAGCTAGTTATTTTATCTGTGCCTCAGTTTCCTCACCATTAGAATTGTGCATTGTTGGGATGGACTTCTCAGTGAGGTGGAAAGATCAATTGGACCTGGAATTGAGAAGATCTGGATCAAATTTCCAGTCCCTTCATTTATTCCATAACCTTCAGCAGGTCACACAGCCAGTCTGAACCTTGGTTTCCTTATTTGTAAAGAAAGTAATTCACAATGTCATTAGAATTAGAAGAACCTAGAGCCAGTAGAGTTTCCATAAATGTTATTTTTCATTTCTTTCTTTTCCTCTGACTTAGGAAACTATATCATTCCTTGGGAGAGGAAATGAGTTTTGAGAACAAAACCAGCTCTGTGGCACAACTTTAGAACCACAGATGGTTCACCCCCTCTCCTTACCCTCCTCCAAAAAAGGATGCCCAACTCCCTAGGAAACCAACCCACTCCTAATTATTAACTAGGCTCATTGTTCGGAAGTTCTTAAACCAAACCCACTTCCACTTATTTTGTGTTCAGAGACATGAAGAATAGTTGGTTGTTTTCCTTTATATAAAAATATTCCATATGCTTGACGAACAATAGTAAGCCATCTTAGACTCTCAATAAAGATGGTCTATCCAAAAGTAAGTTTAGAAAGCATTTTCAAAGGAGCTTTTTTGTTATCATAAGACACCTTTTACAAGTGTCTCAATATTAACAAATTGCTACTTCTCTGTACAGTCTCCTAATAAACACATCCATTCACACAGCTGTGTTTAAAACACGATTAGTGTCACTTTCAGAGTTTTCATTGTTCACTTCAGGTTGTTGTAAGGGCAGGCTTGCCATGCTTGCAACAGGGCTGTGCATGACACACGTTTAAACTGAACACATTCTCTCTACCAACTTAGAAAGGCAGTAATAAATTTCAGCAGCAGGAACATTTCATTGGAAGCACAAATCAGAGCACATACGTCAGCCAGGGATTGAGAGCTGTCTTTTTTAACTAAAGGAAGTGTAGGTCACCCCTGTAGCCAATCTTCTAGTCGTGGGTTACATACCTCTGTCAGGAGACCAGTGTTGAGAATCCACACGTGGCTCCTTACCGTGGTTGTGGGGCTCTGCGCTAGCTCCTTTCTATGTCTGAGCCTCAGTTCATGGCCTGCATTATGGGAACGATGACAACCTAGGCACAAGGTGTGGGGAAAGGCAGGCAAGTTGACAGCATAGATGCTCAATAATTATGTTGGATCCTTGTGCTTTAATAATAAGATCTTGTCCACACCCTTTAGAACAATCTGCAAATATATGTGTCTAAGGATGTATACATTAACATTTCAATAAAAATTTAAGTTTCTAATTAGGTGGAACCGGAGAAAAGTAGGTGCTAAGGCAATCGGAGATCTCACCGCAGGGGTTAACTTTGGAAACAGGTTTAAAATCTGCTGGGTCACACAGGGTTGATTATATTCGTTAAAAATATTTTTAAACTTTTGACCCCACAGGAGGTACTTCTGTGTCTGGTTCACTGTCAGGAGTTGGAGTGGGGGAAAGCAAGTGGTCTAGATTGAATGGGTGGAGTGGAGAAATCCTGGGAGGTTTGCATCTCTTGACACATTTTTGACTCCCTCTTCTTCCCCACCCCGCCCCACTATTCACCTTGAGCTTGTCAGATGCGATTCATTCATGAAATCACCAAGCTGAGGAAGCTTGAGGACGTGTCTAGACCAGCTTCTTGTCTTCTGTCAAAGCACACTTGAAACAGCCTAGAACAATGGCCACCTACCTCTGTTCAGCGAAAGAGCCTTTCAAGTTCAGTCTGTGTCTGTGCCTTTCAAGTTCAGTCTGTGTCTGTGCGCTGGGGCTGTACTGGGGAAGTTATCCCTTCACCCAACCTTTAATACAAGTCCATTTTCTCTTCGTATGCTCTGGGTCTGTCCTTTATGTTGTGACACATTGCTGTCCTGCCTACAGGAAGTGGCCACTCAGGTGGGGAGTGCTGATATGGCCACAGCCTCTGTCAGGCGCAGCACTCCTTGTATCCTCTCTGATGAATCACCAGCTGAGCAGACATTCTTCTCCCCTGACCTCACCACCTCTATCCCCTCTGCCCCCATTGCAGTAATTCCCAAACTAGAGAGAGCTTGCATCAGAATCACCTGGAAGGTTTATTAATACACTGGGACCCACCCCCCACCCCCCAGAGTGTCTGATCTGTTGGGCGGGGCGGGGCGGGGAGGAGGGGGGAGCACACCTGACTATCTGCAATTTGTCACAAGTTCACAAGTGGTCTGGGACCCCCATTTTAGGAACCTCTCCTCTAGTCCAGCATTGAACCTCACTTTAGTGCTTCTAATAACCTGCCCTTCTCCCACCTTCCGAGATAATACCTCCTCCATTCTTAGGAGCCTTCTCACCACAGTTACATGTTCAACATGTTTATTGAATTTTAATTATAACAAACATTTGCTAAACACTTTACATACATTGTTTGTAATTTTCCCCAACAACCCTGCAAGTTTGGCATGAAATAAAGAATAAAAGGATAAGTAACAAGATCTTACAAGTGATGAAGAGTAGATATGGTATTCAAACTCAGATTTATCTGGAAGGATTCGCTCTTTCCACTATTCCAGGGTTGGCCAATAGATGTCTAACTTGTACGTCATCTCTGATTCATTGGTGGCAACTGTCTGAGCACCGGGTTGAGGAGTCCCAGGTGGGTCCCATGGGGTTGGGGAGCTTCTGCTCAGCAGGAGGGAGCTCTGGAAATAGTGAGTGCAGGAGTGGAGTGGGGCGGCAGGGGCGCCCGCATTTACTGCCCTCACACTATGCCTTGTTGGTGGATCAGTTTTGTTAGCTCCTAGAATAAGGTGAGAAATAAGTACTCGAATTCATTCCATAGGGAACAAAAAAACTTCTTTACTTTTTCTCCCCTTTCTCTGAAGGGTGAGTCTAAGTTTTGAGCTTAGATTTAAGAAAGTATGATAACCTGTAAAGTAAACTAAAATGCAACTGGTATATAAATAGTAGTAACCATCAAGGACATTTAGCCTTAAAATGATGGGACAAGAGAATCATATTCATTATAGTCTCTGTATGTTATATGTCTTTCGGTGTGACCTATCTAATGGAGTGCCTTATACTAAAATAATCCACTGTGACTTCATAAGGAGGTAATGACATTTCTAGTTTTCTTCCTTCCTCCATCACTAAGATTTTGTATAGGATTTGTTATTTTTCATGCCTCTGTTCTTTATCTGAAAAATGAGTTTGATAATGCTTTTCTGCTTCTTCCTAACATTTTTATGTATGTGATTCAATGACATATATCTTATGGTATCTATTATTCAATCAACAGATACTTTTAAAATGTATCCTCAGGCAGTGTGGATATGGTAGCAAACAAAACAGACTGCGTTCATGGAACTTACACTCTAAGGAGGAGAGACAGACAATAAACAAGTGAACAAATAGAGGAAAACTGTGTATAGTGATAAATGTGCATAGAGAATGACTCTGTGTGTGTGTGTGTGTGTGTGTGTGTGTGTACACGTGTGTGCATTGCTATTTTACATGTGGTGGTCAGGGAAGGCCTTTCTGAGGAGATGACATTTAAGCTACAACTTTAATGTGGGAAAAGAGCCAAACATTGATAGTCTGGGATTAAAGCAGTCTAGGCAGAGAAAGCAGTCTGTGCAAAGGTCCTGAGGTTGAAGGTAGAAAGGGGCCAGGTCAAGCAGGCTAGTGAGAGTTTTCAACTCAGGGTGATGCAGCCCCCTGCCCCTGCCTAGATGTGCAGAAGGTGATTTGGATACAAAATGCTGCAGTTGAGGACAGAGCACTATTGGCTTTGAGTGAGCAGGGACCAGGGATGCTAACCTTCTCACACTGTTTTGGAGGGACACACACAAGACTTGTCTTACTCATACTGTCCTGCAGACACCGTCTCTATTGAGAAATCCTAAGAGCCTTTAAGGCCAGGATAAGAAGTCGAATTTTATCCAAAGTGTAGTGGGAAGCTGATGAAAAGTTGGAGGCTTTAAAAAATGACCTTTAAAGATTCCTTTGGCTACTGAGTGGAGAATGAATTATAAAGGGACAAAGTTAAAAACAGGGAAATTCAACAGGCGCCTATTTCAGTAGCCCAGAGCAGAGATGGTGGTGGTCTGGGCAGGGGGAGTAATGGTGAAGGTTTTGAGAAGTATTTGTACCTTCAAGAAGACTCCTAGATAAATGTAAAATGCTATTATATTTGCCATGACACCTCTATGTTACCTTATTTTTTTTTCTCAAGAGCTTTTTCAGTTTCAGAATCCACTGGTTTACCCTGTATTCATTTAAGAGGGTCTTTGCAGCAGCAAATTATGAAAATCCTTGCTCTTTCAAATACAAGTCTTTATCCTCTTGCTCTTTCACCTTGCAGATCTGTGTGCATTTCAAGTTGTTCATAGCTCAGGGAGGTAATCTATTTGATTTGGGCTTGTAAAAAGAGATAAAATTACCTGTGCTTCCTGAATAATAATAGGCGATTTCTCTCTCTGAAGGGTCAATAGGAATTAGCCTACATGTATCGTTTTACAAAACTGGTGCCTCCATGAATAACAGGGACCAAGTCTACATTTTTTTCTGCAGAAAGAGGAGCCTTAAGTGAACATCAAAGTCTCTCGAAGGGGTGTCGCAGACGTTTTGGGATGAATTTTACCTGAGCATTAACGCCATGCAAATAGTTTTCAGGTGCATCAGCTCCTCCCCCGCAAAGGCAATTCAGTTTCCGAAGTTTTAGAAAATACCCCTCGCTGCTATCATCTTCTCTCTCTGTAGAGCCATCTCTTCTTACTGCACCCCCACTGCAAGTGGCCCCAAGACTGCCCTCAGAGTTCACCTGCAGAAGAAGCCCTATCTCCCATCCTGGGGGGAGGAGCATCCTGGAGCCCAGGCTGAGCTGAAGTGGGCGGCAGAAGAAGGGATAGGAGGCAGCTGGCTTCAGGCCACCCGCACACTGGTGAATGGTTCCACTGAGGATGGAGCTCAGGAGGTGGGTCTTCCCACCAGAGTCTTGCGTCCTGAGAGAAGTTGCGTGTGTGTGTGGGGGGGAGGGGCGGGGGTTGGTTAGACACCAAAGGAACACTGGGGACAGGATGCCACTCGGGCAGAACAACACACCATTGTTTCCATCTAGGGATGATGGCGCCAGGCACTCACCCACCGAACCCTGCCTTCCATTCTGGATGAAACTGAAGAGGAGAAACAGGAAGTGGACAGGACCATCCTCCTCCCACCTCGCCTCCCCCCACAAATTGAATTCTTTAAACCCAGCATCCAATCTACAATACGTAAGCCAAACTCCCAGGAATTAAATAAGCAGGTGGTCTCACTTAACTGTAAAAACCAAGGAAGGGAAAGCTGTGTCTTCACCTATAAGCACAGGTGTGGTCCTGCTAGAGGCAGGCCACTTCACTGCCCAGTGCAAAAGGAGGGAAACAGAATCATGTATTAGAAGGAAAGAGCAAATGTTTTACATTAAGAAACCCTGTTTTGGCCTCCAACTAGCCATGCAAATTTGGACAAGGTCACCTTCTTGGGCTTCAGAGTTGATCGAAAGGCCTTTCAGACTCTGATGTGCTCTGCATTTGTAATTCATAATTCAGCTGGAGATCCTCACTGCTCCCCTAAAGCCTCTTGTAAACCAAACCATCCACCTCAACCAACTCCTATTTCTGTCTCTCTCACTCTGAATTAATAACATTCTTCATGCAGTCCCCATTGGCTCCTGAAAATGCTCCCATGAGCACCCTCGAACACTACTCTGTTCTTCTTTCATCGCATCCCCTCCTTCCTCTGCTAGCTCTTAAGATCCTCTGAAAGGAGGTCCCAGTGTCAGTTTTTTTTTTCTTTGACTCTCCAGTGCTTAGCGCTATACCTCACACTTATTAGATGTTCAGTAAATGTTTGTTGCTGAATGAATGTATAGGGAAGATATAAAAAGAGAGCGGAATGAGCCCAAGCAACTCAAAGCTCCAGAGCCAGCTTTGGCTAAAAGCCATGCAGTCTACCCACAAGTTCCTGAACTTCTTAGAATTAAAAAGAGAGAGAGAGAGGGGGAGAAGAGGGAATTTTAGATATTATAGCAATAATTTTCAGATATCACAGTTTCTACTAGACTATGTCTCCACTGAGATAACACCAGTTTCACAGGATTTTAGAAATACTAGCTTTACCTAGCCTTTATGGAATGTCTTCTATTTGTAAAGCGCTAGTATAAAATTGCTGAGTAGAAATTTCCAGATCCCTAACTCCATGACTTCATACCTCTTTAAGCTGTTCACGGAGGGGGGCGGGGGGGGGGACAAAAACAAAAACCCCAATCAGAAAGTTTAAAACTGACCACATCTTGTCTTCATAAGCCTTGATCCTTTCACGTATTGCAAATTCCTCACCACCATGACCTCGTAATTAGAATTGCTCAAGGCCTAGGGAATGCAGCCGCTCGCCTGTCTAGAGAGGTTACCAAAAATAATCAAGCCTTGCTGGTGTGGTGCTGGGAAGAAGGAAGGGAGCTGGGACTGACAGCAGAGGTGGCCTGGAATAGGACAAACCCAGTCCTGGTCCAGTTCCAGGAGTTTGGATTTGTGGGGACTGAGATTAGGATGCAGCGTCAAAGCTTTTGGGCCGTGGCCAAATGTTTGATGAGCTTTCCACCTAATCATGGAGACCATGCCTGAGCGATTCCAGCCTCGGGAAGGGGTCAAAAGGAAAAGGGAAACACAGTTGATTGTGCCGCTTCCTGGCACCAGGTCCTCCGCTGAGAGGAGGCTGCCACCAGAGCCAGAGCTACCACAGGGCTGAGGCAGAGAGACACTGCCCCCAAAGGTGTGCAGTCAGTCACCACTGGTGTCCCTGAGGGATACTGAAGCAGCATTTTTTTCCAAAATATTGTGCACAAGGCAAAGAGTGACAAACATCCCCAGCTTCACCATGGTGATGGGCTGTGGACTCGTATGGTTCGTCTGTCATTTGTCTAAGTGCTGTTTGCACCTTGAGTCACCCGTGTCATGAACTCAATTATTTTTTTCTTTTTCTGTCCACTGTGAAAGGAAGCAAGCCCCTTTGGCCCTTATTAGCAGTGTCCTGGCAGCGGGGGCAGGGGTGGGGGGGTGGGGGGAGACAACCCTTAGACCATCCTGAAACCATAGGTCTAATGACAGTAATAAGCCTTATTCAAATCAGAAAGAGCTGGGCTTTGTTAAGCTCCACAGGGTCTTATCTAAGGGGCACACCAGGGAAGGAAGGCCCCCGGAGGTGGGGGAGACTGCTGGTCACAAAGGTGCCAGGAGAGGCTGGCCGAGTAGCTCAGTTGGTTAAGACCTCACTCAAAAGTTTGAGCTCCGAGCAACAGCAGTTCGAGTCCAGCCCGAGCTGAGCAGCAGCTGAGCTGCCAACAGGTAGCAGGATGGCTCAGCTAAAAACAAAACAAACAAAGGTGCCCGGAAGTCCTATCAGGAGCTTCCTTTTTTGCTTGTGACTCTGCAGGCTGTTATCTAGAGCATGAGCTTGCAAGACGGGCTACTGGCAGGTTAAGGTCCCCGCAGGCCTCTTGGACAAACAAAATGGATAGGGAGGCAGCAATACCATGGAGTAGCTTTCGACAATACCTTATAGTAAAACTATAAGAAAAGGCAAGGGGGGGGGTTAAGCTAAATTTGAGGATAATGTTGGGTGTGGGGGTTGGAAGGAGAGGAAGAGAGAGAAGCATGATCGGGGTGGGACACCCAGAAGGCTTCCAAGGTACTAGAATAATCTGACTTAAAATGGAGAGATAGGAAATGCTCGTTGGTGCATTTGGTGTTCGTTTTATCATTATTCTTTAAACTGTGCATATATGTGTTCATACCCTGCTTTTGTATGTATGATATATTTTAAAATAAAAAGATACATTTTACTCCCTCCAAAAAATAAAGACCCAAGGTCTGAAAGAAACTGATCGAGAACTAAAAACGGTGCCAAAATAATGTCAATATGACCTTAAGTGAAAATTTAAAACATAAATCGTAGAACCAGTACAGACATCTCTCTCTCTCTCACACACACACACACTCTCTCTAACTTTCTCTCTCCTCCTCCCTTCTCCTCCCTTAATCTCTGCCTTCACTAAAAATTTTTGCTGACCGGAAAAAATTTTGTGGGAGTGAGGCACATTAGAATTTATCTATGAATTATGTTTGAGAGAAAATAACCCCCCCGGCCACACACACACACACACACACACACACACACACACACACACACAAACACACCATCCTGCTTGTCAGGGCAAGACTGGGCAGGACTGACTTAGCACACTTTCTTTTCCAAAGTTGGAAACTTAAAAATAATGCCTGCTCTCGGGAAGCCAAGGTAGCCATTGAACAGAAGCCTGCTTCACATCCCTGTGTGTCCGGTGGGGCTGCTGTGCAGCCATGTGCGAGGTGAGCACCTTGTCCAGCCTGCGGCCTGCCTCTCTCCCTGTTGATCTCCATCCCAGGGCTCCAGTGTGCTCTGAGCACCAGCTCAGTATTTCCCATTTTACTTCACTCTTCACATGCCTCAAATAGCTCACTTTTTTCCCCCTGAACCCTGGCTTAGCCAACTTCCCTGTATTTTGGTTCCTTTGATCTTTCTGTTCAAATCAATCTCGTCCTTTAATTATTTTCTGTTCCACTTCTTTGAACCCCTTCCAGTTGCCTTCATTTCTCAAGGAGCCAGGTGTTTAATAAGGAACCTGGGTGACGTTCAGGCAGAACCAGGTAGATGCAGCTGCTTGCCCCTAGGTCTTTGCTGCCTCTTCTTTAAGCAGCCAAGGTGGTTTACTGAAGGCACGTGACCTTCCAGACACAAGAACAGTGCCCTGCACATGGCAAATGCTCAGTAAGTAATGAGCGCAAGAAAGAATTCATTGGGATCTCTTTTAAATGGGCTGGACTCTATTCTAACTAACCCTTAATTTGCTTCCCCATCCCACCCTCAGCTCAGGTCTCTTTCTGCTTTCAAATTTTTCTTTCCGGCCTAACAGAGATTTCATAGCTTATTTCTTGGATACTTTAGTTTACACAATTTTAAATTAAATTTTCTTGTTTTCTGATCATGTATTTAACCTTGTTAGTTTAATTCATGTCATAGGATTTTGCTAGTAACCTTATTTCCCAGATTAGCGTTATTTAGACATTATTCTATGTTGCCCTTTTTTTTCCCCAAATAACTGATAACCATGTTCATGTTGTCTTAGTTTTAATTTATCTTTATTGGAGAGTAGACTTTGCTTCGATAGTTGTTAATTTTCAGTGTTTTTCTAAGGAGCCGTAGTTTTATCACGTCCTATGATTCTGACACAGGTTTGGGTTGAGAATAAAAACCATTGTCTTAAAATGATAGGATGTCTGGGATTTGCTTCAAAATAATCTAGTAGGGATGGAGGGAGTTAGGAGGGGTATAGGAGAAATGAGATTGACAGGGGTTGATGATTGCCAGTGCTGGGTGATGGGGATATGGGAGTTCATTGTGCTATTCAATTATGTAAATGTTTGAAGTATTTCCATAACATAAAGTTATTTTTTAAGGCACCAAAAAAAATGTAGCTATACAGTTGATCCTGTGAATTATCTCAGGACCTAGAGAAAGGGAATTCCTCTATCATCCTCCAATGTTCTTGTCGCTTATTGGTGACATGTCACTTATTGGTGACTTGTCATTTATTGGTGGTTCAGTCCTCCCTCTACGTTCACGACAAAGTTCAGCACTTAGCCCTCCTCTTCCTTCATTTCCAAACTCTTTTTCTCACCGGGGAGATTTTATCAAGCTGATGTGTGGTTTGTCCAGTGCCTCACATCTGCAATGCTAATCACCTGCACTTTCACTCCCTTTCAGTAGCCCACTGTCCATTTAAACCATTTTTTAAAATGATACAGATATCTCTTTGCTGACTGTCTAGCACTGCAGCTAAGATCTTCAGGTTATGTTTTGTTACAGAATTTACTTTTCCTCAGCATCACTCAACACATAAAACAGATATGTAATCCAGCCATTTCTGGCTTAAAATCCTTCAAGTTCGAATTCAAGTTTACATCCAGCTCTTGCTTTCCTCCTATTTCCGGCCTCTTTCCCTGTCATCCTCTGATAGTCACTCTTCTCAGCTACTCCAGACTGCCTTCATTTGTGGGTAACAGACCATGCCTTCTCACACCTCCAAACTTCTGACCGTACTGTTCCCCAAGATTGGACTGTCCATCATTCTGCCTCTGGGAGACTTCAGCAACTTTCGTTTAGACCTCAAGACTCAATTCAAGCATCACTCCTTTTGGAAGGCTTCCCTGAGCTGTCCACATTGAGTTAAACGCCCCCTCCAATACTTTTTCTCATAGCACTCTCTGACTATGTCTATCCTAGTCCTTTGAAACCCAACTGTAATCACTGGCATTCTTCGTGTCCTTTCTAGACCATGAACTCTTTCTCCCAGAACCCAACACAGTACCTGGCACATAGTAGGTATTTTAATGAATGAGAAACTGAATGAACAGGAATGGATAAATGAATGCTGCAGTCTCCTTCAGGTCGCACCTCCCTACCCAAGGGCTGTTCTCCAGCAGACTGGGTCAGTGCTCTTGGTCCTGGAAGCCCCTACTGTGTTTGCCTGCTTAGCCCACCTGACCCACCTGGCTCTAGTTGTAACTGTTTTCCCTGTCCCATCTGAGTCCTTCCCACTTGGCTCTTCATCCAGACTAGTGTTTCGCAGAGTGTCGTACACAATACTTTTTAGGTGATAGACAAACGTCTTTTGACAGCCTTGTATTTACATTCAGGCATATTCAACAAGGGGAGAGGACTGAGCACAAAAAACCTGTGAGTTCACAGAGACGATTGCTTAGGATGAGACACTAGGCTATGCCATGGTGATCGACCTTACCTGGACCTCATAAATCAGGGGAGAGGTGCTCGGGCATAACCATAAATGTTCCAAGCCCCCTATAACTGAGCCCTCGCCCATGCCCATGAAGCAGACAGCTGGAAACCCCCCAGCAGGGAAGGGCTCCCATACGGAATTCCAAAGGCACCTCTGTGTTTCATTCGCTGACACGCTGAAATGTCATTTCTGGAAGTTACTTTTAAATGTATATTCCCTCTTAAACATGACAGATGAAATAGTTAAATATCTTTTGAGCTGGCTAATCACATCTTCATGTGAGTTCAGGTATTTAATGTGTTATATAAAAACTGACAGGTTTGTTTCATTGATGTGGATCCTTAGCTGTGTCTGAAACTATTAAGTTAGCATCCAGCTATTTTGATCAGAAAGTTCCATTCTTCTCCATAAGAAACTTGTTTTTAGCCATACACTTTATGTCAATTTGGTTTATTCTGTTTTATTGTTTGGCATTTTTACTTGTTTTTAAATGTTTATTATAGAATTTACTATGTTTTATTAAATTGATTTTATAGAATTTACTATATTTTGTCAAATCTAATATACCATCGATATGTAAAACACGTCATTATTTTATGAGCTGCTAAGAATAACAGAGATGCTGCCAATTATAATTGCAAGATGCCATTGATTTCTAAAACAGATCCCAATTTCAGAGGTGTTAAAATTATTTTTAAAAGTGTATCTTAAAATTGATGAAATGCAGTATATGTACTCGTACACTTCACTTCTATTTTGGCAGATAATATTTATATTCCATTTATCATAATGATACAGTTTCCCGTTTAAATGAATTTTAAAATGAGTTGCTTTAAAGAAAAATATTAAGTAGGAGTAGAGGTAGAATATAGTAAGGCAAAAGATCCTGGATGTGGTAGCCAAATAATTTTGACTTAGCCTAACCGCCTAGGTCCAGATACGGCCCCTTGGCCCCACTTGCCAACTCAGGTCAACCTCACCGCCCTCAGCACTGTGCCCAGATCCCACCTGAGGCAGACTCCATCCAGCTCCTCCACTGAGCCAGGGAGAGGACTTTGGGCAATTATACCTATGCTCTGGTTGAGGAATGTGGCTGTAACTCACTGAAGTCATTTTATGACAGGGAAAAGAAATTCCTAGGAAATAGACTCATGGGGATTGGAATAATCTGGACTTGCCTCTATT